GGGAGAGCAGCAACAAGAGCAGCAGCAACAACCAGAACCTTCGGCGGACAGGAACCGTTCTTGCTCTAACAGGGCGCGCCCTCGGCGCGCGAAGACTGGCTTGAAATGCTGGCAACTGGCAGCAGCAGGAGCAGCGTCCGCAGTTGATCTGCCTACGGCCGACCCCCTGGCAGGTGTGCGATGGCCCTCCTCCTCATCCTCCTCCTCTTCCCCCTCCCCTTCCCCCCTCTTTTCCTCCTCCTCATCCGCGGATCCCGATTCGCCTGCCTGGGGCGGCATCGGTGCAAGTTTCAAGTCTGTTGCGTCCTCGTGGACGCGCCCAGCAGAGTACGGCAAAACCCTCCTGCGTCTCCTGCATCTCCTCCGCCTTGTTTTCCCCCCCATCCTTCCTAATTTTTTGCAGAGCGAGTGTCAGACTCCCCTCGACTAAGCACATCGCTCGCATTGTCCGTAGCAAACTTCCGAAGCTGGAAAAGCAAGGCCTGTGGGCAACCCCCGTGAGAGACCGCCACGGGCTGTCACTGCGCCATTCCCCTGAACTCTAAACCGAGCGTCAGCCCGCAACTCGCAGCGCATATCTCGCGCGCTGGACCTCCCCCCGCCGCCTCGCTCTATCTCCTGCGCCCCCCTGCCTCCCGCGCCCCTCTCGTCTCAGCGAGGCGGCCCCTGGGCGCCGGCCGCTCGACTGGAGAGCGCGCCAGGCGCCCCCGCCGCAAAGAAAAACACCACCGTGCCCCCGGACTCCTGCAGCGCGCACCTACGCGGCCTTGCGCGCGGACTTGCACACGGGGGCGCCGCCAACGCTGGCTCTCTTCGCCGCCAGAACCGCTGGGGAATGCGGCGTCGCCTTTGGAAACGACGCCGCGTCGCCCACCCTGGCCCTCTTGGCGGCCCCGGGCCCAGCCCGGGCGCACCCTTTCTGGTCAGTGCCGCCGGCCCCGCTCCCAGGCGCGCTGTCTGCTGCACCGCTGGCGCCCTCCGCCTCGCCCTCCCCGCTCACTGCGCGGCCGGCGAGGATCGCCTTCCCCGCGTTCAGAAGGATCTCGGGGATCAGGCGGCCCTCGAGCGCGGGAAACTCCTCCTTCATCTTGTCAGGCTCCTGTGCGACGCTGATGAGGTTCTTCATGGCATCGCGGACCTTCTGCTTCTGCTGGGTCAGAATCCTCGACTGCCCTTTCGCCTCCCAAATCGACGACGTCACGTTCGCGCACCAGGCGACCAGGAAGAGCCGCTGTCGCAACTGTGACGTCATGGAGTCCACCTGCGACTCAAGATGGGGGTCGCGGCACACCTCCTTTATGAGAGAGAAGCCACCGATCACCTGGAGCGAACGCGGGGTGGCGAGGAGGAGCCGCGGCGGAATGCACTGGGAACGAGGGGAGCTCGGTGGGATGAGACAGCGGGGGACTGGTGAAGGAACACGAGGAGCTGGGGAAGACGGCGAACAAGGATCTGCGCACCTTGTTGACAGCATCAACCATCTTCCCACCCTTGCCGCCGATGGTCTCCGGCATGTCCACGGTGCCACCGACAACCTTTAAGAACTCGGCCGCTTCCTGCAGCGTCTCGGGGATGGGGCTCCTCTCAAGAAGCTCCTTCGCGGCGCGCACGGCTGGCTCGGCGTCGAACCGCTTGACGGAGCGTTCAGCCCGCTCCTGCGCGACTTTCTCCAGCCATGGCACGGCCTGCGCGTGCAGCTCCTTGCTGGCCCCCACTGCTGCCTCCACATCTTCCAGAGAAGCGTCGAAAGTCATCGCGATGACCGTCTGGAAGGCGCGCTCCGGCTGCGCCATGTCCCCGAGCTGGCGCACGGCGTCGCTCGCGTTCTCCCACAGCTCCAGGTTCAGCTCGCCCCCGGCCTGCTCGGCAAGCTCCTTGGCGTCGGCGACGGCCGCGACGCTGCACAGCCACATGTCCGCTTCCTTCCAGGTGTCCTCGGGCGGCTCCGCGCTCAGCAGCTTGGAGATATTCAAGAAGGCCTGAAATTCCTTCCGTTGCCACGCCGCCGAGTCCACGCGCTTCAGAGACTGTTCTGCTGCACCCTTGGCTCTGGCCAGAACGCTGCGGCCCAAGGCCCTGCGCGCGCGCGCCGCCGTGCCCAGCGCGAGGGAGAACAGCGACTGCAGCCCCTCTACGTTGTCTTCCGCAGACACTGTCACGCCAGAGACCTTCAACAACGCCTCGGGGCTCTCCTTCAAGAGGTCGCACAACCGATTGGCTGTCTTCACTGGCTGCTTCATCCCAGGTACGTCGAGACGGCTGTACGCGGCGATGTCGGCGACCTTCTTCAATGCCCCGAAGGCGGTCTCATGGGGGCCCTTGATGCCATCACGCGCCCACTCCTCGACGGTCGACCAGCCGTGCTCCAACTCCAGCCGCTCGACGCACGCGGCAGTCAGGAGCTCCTCTGGAGAACGCGTTTCGGCGCCCAAACTACATTGAGAAGGCGCGCTGCTGCAGCACCTCTTGCACAAGGTGTTCTCCTCATCATCCTCCTCCCTCCTCCGCCTCCTCTTCCTCCTGATCGTTCTGGCGGTCCGGGGTCCGGGGGTGGTTCATCTGTCTGTGTCCTGTTTCTCGCTCTCGGACAAGGAATATTTCCTCGGGCCTGCTGCGGCTCGCCCCACCTCCTCGCGGGGCGAGCGCAAGAGCAACCCGAGGACCACGTCCTCGAACGCCGTGCCTCGACCGGAGGCAAACACAGGCAACGGCGAGGTCAAACATCCCATGCTCAAGTAAGAGAAAATAAGGCGCGCCGCAGCAGCACCGGCCAAACTAAAACCAATGGCGGATCGGAAACCCTCGAACCTCATCGAACGGACTCGCGATCTTGCGGAGGCCCGCCCGCGGCCTTCCCTGGCGAGTTGGTGCCGGCCGGCCTCCTGCAGCGCGCCCGCCTTGGACGCGGCCTCCTTCTGCTTCTTGCAGGCGCGCGACACCTCCTCGGTCCAATTCTGCCACTGTTCCCCGGCGGCATGGCCCGTCACCTGCGCGAAGAGCTCCCGGGCTGCCTGGGCGCACTGGAGAGCAGCCTCCTCGTGGGGCCGCTTCTTCATGGCCGACTCCGCCCAACCAGCGAGGACTTTGCCGCCCGGGCTCGTGTTCAAAGCGACGCCCAAGGCCCCCTCCAGCTGCGGGGGCGCCTCCAGCGCCTCCTCCACCTCAGTCAGCGGGGCAGTGCTCGTGCGCGACACTGCCCAGAGAACTTGGATTTGACCCTTCAGCTCCTCCTCCCACACGGGCCGCGCAGGGTCGGCGGGGGCCCGCTGGAGAGCATCCCGCGCGCCGCCAGCGAAGGCAACCACGGCAGCAAACGATCCGCCTCCCTTCTTGGCGTCCGACTTCGCGACGGCCGAAATCAGGCCCGCGCCGACTCGCTCGAGGGTCGTCGTCGCGAGATCTGCCGAGGGCGCGCCATCTGCAGCGCCGCTTTCCAACAGGGACATCAGCTGTAACCAATCGCAGCGCTTGATGGCCTCGTCTGCCTTCCAGCTCCTGAACCGCATGTGGTACGCCACGCCGAACGCGATGTCCTCCGCCGCGGCGATCTCGGTGTCTTTCAGGAGAGTCTCGGTGTTCCCTGGCTTCTCGCTCACAGCAGCCTGCGGACTCCTCCGCCTCCTCTGGTCCCCCTCGCTCAGTCTTCTTCCTCCTCCGCTTCCGCCGCCTCCTTTGAACTGGGCCGGGGGCCTCCAAGCCCCCGTTCACAAAGAGGAATGAACAACTGAATGCGTACTGTAGCCCCCTCCTCCCTTCCTCCCCCATTCCTCCTCCCTTCCTCCTCCCTTCCGCGTCCCTTCCTCCTCCCTTTCTCCTGCCTTCCGCCTTCCTTCCTCCTGCCCCCCCTCCTGCCTTCCCCCTCCCTTCCTCCCTCTCCCCCTATCGTCCTTCTCCTTTCCTCCTCCCTTCCTCCATCGACGACGACGACGACGACCACGAACGCGACCACGACCGCGACCACTCCGCCTTGACGACCCGCACTGCCGCGGCCAGCGCCTCCTCTGAGCGCGCCAGCCACGCCTTGTTGATCTGCAGCGCCTGCGCGCCGTCATCCGGGATCTTCCCCATCTTGGCCGCTGCCTTCTTGGCCGTGTGGATGGCGCTCTCTGCGGCTGCCGCCTGCTCAAAAGCCGTGGCCTTGAAGTGGGCTCTCCCCTCCTTCGTGGACAGGTCCACATCTCCGCCGAAGTCGAGCAATTTGTAACACTCCCGGAACGTGTTGAAGAGCGTGTCGGCCTCGCCCTTGAGTTTCCCGCCGGCCGCTGCGAGGCTGAATTCGAGGGCCTTCCGCCCCCTCTTCTTCGACGCGGAGCCGTCCTCGAGAGGTGCTGGCTCGTCCGGCCGCCCGCCGCCCTCGTCGGAGTCGTCGGGCGGCTGGGCGCGCAGGGGCGCGGCCCGCGAACCGCCGCTGCCACGCTTCTTCCCTGGCTGGCTCCGGCCCGAGCGCTGCGGGGTCGCCAAGGGCGGACTGGCGCCGCTGCCGTCGGCTGGCTGCGCCGAGGGCGCGGCCGTCTGAGCAGGGGCGCGGGCGGCTGACCTCTGCGGCGGCGCCTGCGCCGAGGGCGCGGCGCACTTCGAAGGGGCAGCGGCTGCGGGCGTGGCAGCCCCTTTGGCGGCAGGCCTCTCGGCTGTCTGGGCGGCGCGCCCGGACGTAGCCCTCCCGGTCGTCTGGGCTGGTGGTCTGGCCTGCGGCTTGGTCGCAGCCTTGGGCGCGGGCTTGGCGGCGCGGGCCGTGCCCCACAGGCCCGACAGCGCCGCGGCCACGAGATCCGTCTCTTCGGCGTCCTCGTCGCTCGCGGGAGAGTCGGACTGGCGCCCCTCCGACGGCGCGCTCTCTGCTGCACCGATCTCCGCGCGCTGCGTGGCGCGCCGCAGGGCTGCAATTGGGGCCACGGCGGCCTCGGCAGCAGCCGAAACCTCAGCCGCGTCCGCGTCGTCGTCTGACTCGGCCACAGTCGCCAGCACCGTCCTGTCCTCCACCTTGCGATCGTCGTAGTCCGCGATGTCGTACAAGAACTTCTTCGCGCCGTCCTTCATGACATATACAACCTGCCAGTAGGAGAGCAGAAAGGGAGGGCATTTCAACGATGAAGGAAGCGAGTGGGAAGACGACTTGGCAGCGCGCCTCCTGCCGGGCGCCGTCGATGAGCTCCTCGCCGCGACAATTCGGGTCCGTGGGCAGCGGCGCCCCAGGGAAAGCCTCGTGCCACTTGCTCACGGGGCAGGCTTGATGCCAGTTCGCAGACAGGCGACGCCCGGAGACCTTGACGGAAGATACCTGGCGAGCCTGCTGGATGTCTCCCGCGGCCTGCCTGGACATGCGGCGGCGCTTCTCTGGGTCCTTCCCCGCCTGGCTCTGGACGTACGCATCCACCTTGAGCCGCACGGTCTGCGCCCAGCCCGCATTCTGGCGCACCCACTTGATGTACTCCTTCAGCGGCTTCTTCTCGCCGCCAGGCAAGTGGGGGTCCAAGAGCACCGCCTGCGAGAGAGAGAGAGAGAGAGAGAGAGAGAGAAAGAGAGAGAGAGAGAGAGAGAGAGAGGGGGCTGGACCAAGTCGGAATCGCGTCGGACATGGGTCGGGGCCGCGTGGGACTCGAGTCGCGTCGGGCCCCGTGCAGGATAGGCCGGGCGGGGCACCCCTGCGGATCGAGCGGAGGTGGAATGTCTAACGGCAGTGCTCGAACTCGCCTCGCCGCGACCAGGAAAAATGCATTCCTCTGCCGGTTGCCCTTTTTCTCTTGCCCGGAATTGCAATGCGCTGAATTTAAAATTGCATCTTTTTGTGAATTTATTGAAAAAATCATTTCCCCCCCCAAAAAAAAATATGTTCACCAAAACCACTTTTATGTTCACCAGGGCGATTTTATGTTCACCAGGGCGGTTTTATGTTCACCGGCCGGAAATTCAAAAAACAATTATGTTCACCAAAACCACTTTTATGTTCACCAGGGCGATTTTATGTTCACCAGGGCGGTTTTATGTTCACCGGCCGGAAATTCAAAAAAACAATGGGAAATAGAAAAAAATCAAAAATAGAAAATTGCAGCCCGCGCGGGCAGAGAAAAATTGAAAGCGGCGGGCTCGATTTCAGCGAAATGTCCCTTGCCCGCCTGCCTTCTTGCGCAACAGGGCCTTGCAAACCAGGCACAAATAGCCCGTGGCCTGGCGGATCATGCTGCCATGGTCGGTGTGGTACTTCCACGGCCAGTATCCGCCGAACTCGTCCTCGTTACTCGCCTGGGGATACGGGCTCGGGTCCGTGCTCTCGTGGGCGCAGAGACCGCACGTGAAGCTGGAACCATCCTTCTTGTTGAAAGGTTTCACCAGATAGCCAGCCCACTGGCCAACCACCACGAGGGCGACCTGAGAGGAAACGGGAGCCAAGAGGGAGGAAAGGAGGCGAGGCGAAAGAAAGGAAGGACATAAGGAAGTGCACAATGACGGGGGCCCCTCGACCTCGAGGCCGTGCAGCATGCGGCCCCGCCGCAACCCCGAGGCCAGGGACGGCGCTTTCTCCGTCTCCCCGTCGGTGTCGGAAGGCGATGCCTTCACCGTCTCCGCGCGGGACATCGCGGGGGGCGAGGGGGCGGGCGCGGCGGCGGGCAGCGAGGCGCTGGCGCGGACGGCAGCTTAGCCGCAGCTCGGGAGCAATGCTGCGCCGAGAGACGCGGCGAAACAGCGATTGGAGCAACGCTCAGGCGACAGCTGCGCGATTGCAGCGGGCGGCCGCGGCGGCGACAACGACTCTGAGAAATGCACTTTTACACGCCTACGCTTCGTATCTGTCCTGGCGGGAAGATCACCCGCCACTGGCCCGCCTCTCCTCCGAGTCCCTCCAAGGCTGGCTCTCGGGCATGCCCTCCAGGACCGCGCGAGCAGCGGCGATCTGCGCTGGCGTGGGCACCTTTTGTTTATGGTCTGCCTTGCTCCCGCATCCAGGGGCCTCCCCCAACCACCACCACAAAGCGGCCAATGGTCTGACCCTCGATTGCTGGTTCCATGAACAGCCTGGATGGAGGCCACAGACGGCGCGCATGTCGTAGACGGCGAGGGCCTCGTTCTCGACAAGGCGAATGTAGTGAGGACGGCCAGCCCCAGCGGGATGTGGGAGCTGCGGGCATCGGGCGACGCGCGGGCGCCTCGGCGCGCCCGCGGGGGGCGGCGGCGGCGCCGCCGCCGCAGCGTGGCCGCCCAGCGGCCCGTGCGCCAGAGCGGCGTCCGGCGCTGCTGCGGGAGGCGCCTCCGCTGGCGCGCCTTCTGCTGCACCCTGCGCCCCGCGACCTCTCTGCCGCCAGGCGGCGGCGGCCTCCCAAGCGGCCTTCCAATCCTTCGCGTAGTCAGGCTCCTCATCCCCGCCACGCGCGCCGCTGCCCCCCCCGTCGGCGGAAGCCCCGCCAGGGCGGGAGTCGGCGAACGCCTGGAACCAGCCCGTCGCCAGGTCAACGTCCTTCTCGTGGAGGCGTGCCTCGTGTAAGTCCCGCTCCTCCGCCCAATCGACCGAAAACTGCAGCTCTGAGCAACCCATGCGCGGGCGCGCAAGAAGTTCGACCCAGCGCAGCTCAGCCCGGTCGCGCCCGCACACGCGTAAGATGTGGAGGGCGACGTCGATCTCAATCATCATCTTCAACACTCTGCGGCCCTTCCTCTCCGCCCAACACCGGCGCAGAGAGAATGGCACCTCGGGGGGCGCCGCGCCGAGCCCGCATGGCTGCCCCACCACGTCGCACTCGCAGAACTCCCCCGTGAAAATAGGACTTTTCAAGTGCGAGAAGTTGCGAATCATCGCACAGCCTCCAGGCCCTGAAACCTGGAGGGTCATCATCTTCCCGACAGTCTTGCACCTCGCAGGGGCCACCAACAACCGCAAATCTTCCACTACGCCTTGGTACTCCCCCCGCAAGTCGGCGACGCCGCCAAGGCACTCTGCCGCGCGCGTGCAGCAAGGCCGCTCAGTTGGGAGGCCGCAGCGAATGAGTCCTGGAGGCGCCACAGCAGCATTGTACATTTCGTCAAACGACACGGCCGTGGCTTCCACGAAGGATCCCATCTTCAGCTTCGCATCGACATGTGCTTGCACGGCTGCGGAGACAAGGTCCTCGGACAAGGGGAACTCGTCTGAGCCGAGACCCCAAGGCCAAGCAGCTTCGTCCGACTGGTCAACGTGGTCGCGACAGATGCGCACGTACTCGCGCAGCGGGTCTGGCTTCATCCTCTCAGCCTTGTTCGCGCGCCGAGCCGCCTCTCTCCAGCTTCGCCTCTCGGCCTCGGACGCAGCCCGCCAGTCCGCGGCCGCCTGTAGATACAGACGCCGCTCGTACTCTCTCGGGTCTGCCCATGGCGCCCGCGGCTGCGAATCTCGCAGATCAGCCACGCGACGGTGGTAAAACATATAATGGCCCAACCTCTTGCGCCGCTGGTTGCCTCCTTTGCCTTGGGCCCAGATCGGTTTCGAGTGGCCGCTCTTCTGCAGGAGTCGGCCCCGCTTGGCGCGCAAGTCGCGCCCGCGGCGCCTTCTCCGCCCCTCTTCGTGACAGCGAACAACCTCGGAGATCGCGTGCTTGGCGGAGAGCGTCGCGGCGTTCGGAGGCCTGTTGTTCACGTCTGGAGGTGGGCTCTCATCCGCGCAAAAGCCAATCCCACGCGCCCTTCAGGGCGCAAGTGGTCTAGGGAGATTCCTCTCCCAACCCCCATTCTTTCCCGTTTGCGGAGGGGTCTACCCCTCTCCCGCGCCCCCTCCCCAGGACCTGGGCGCGGGGGCCCGCAATAGGTTAGAGCGTCAAGAATGGCCCAAGACGGCCCCTAGGGTCGCAGACCGCAGCCGTGAAAAAGCCAACTCGCCTGGGCGACGTTTCTGGATGGGCTGGTGGGGATCTGCGCAACGCCAACAATTCGGAATGCACCGTCGAGGCCATCGCGTACCTAAAGCATGCGGAGAGAAAGCGCTGCACCTCTGGCAGGAAAAGGTCGCCAACGCCCGCGGTGCACATCTTCCTCAGCCTCAAGGAGAACCCCGAGTTCAGGCAACGCTCGTTTGCCCGAAAGAGTTCTTCGCCTGCTGCGCGGCGGGCCCCCATGTCCAGGGAGGCGTCCACGAGCCGCATGAGCCTCCATGGGTAGCCGCTCAAACGAATGTCGAAGCGACGATAAAAGGACCCAGTGAATACGTGGACGATGGCGTCTGCTTCGCGGAGGACCTCGCCGGGCCAGGACGCGAGGGGGCCGTGCAGGGCAAGCGGCAATCTCCACAAGTCGTAATGTCCAGCTGCAGCGGGGTCAAAGGCTGAGCTCAGCTGAGCGAGCGTGTCAAAGACGACGCTCTTGCAGCATGACGACAGCGCAGACCCCTTGGGGTCGAGCCAGCCATGCAAAGACCCACGTTTGAAACATGCGTAATGAAATCGCATCCCCACGGCGGCCACGGCCACCCACAGGACCAGCCGTTGCCGCGCAAGTAGATCGGAGAGAAACCTCATCATCTTGACGGTGCGAACATGCTGTTCACGCCTGAAATCCCCCAGGCCCGCTGCGCCGCTGCCGCTCTCGAGGCCGCCATCTTCCCGCCGCATGGCGCGCGCAGCAGCGCCGCGCGTCTTCTCGAGCGCACGCGGCAGCAATCCATGCAAGGAGATCAACAGCAGCAAGACGCACGCGGTGGGATGCACAGTGTTCCAGCGGTTCAACGCGGGCACTGCAAAACGCCTGCGCAAAGGAACCATCACCGCCGCCACCGCTCTGTCGACAGACTCCTGCCTGTTCGCGCAGCAGTCGCGGCCCCTGCAGTGGTGCACAGGCCTCTCTTGAGACACGTCGCCGGTGAACATCTCCTTGATCAAGTCGACCTCTGGCTTGGTGAGGCCTCTACGTTGGCCGCGCGCCACTGTCACCTCCTCGTCCTCCACGTCCTCATCCATCTGGCGGTCGCAATGCCCGAGCAGCATGTCGAGCTTCCCCCTGTCCGCTGGATTCGGCGCGCCCCGCCGCACCTCCAGACCAGCCTCCTCGTCCGACAGGATTTGCCGCAGAGCTGTCTCGAGGGCCCGCAAGTTGGCCCCTGTTTGCAAGTGTCTGACAGTGGAAAACATGCCGCCGACGACCCCCGTCATGTCTCCGACCGACTGCAAACATATTGCGGTTTGATGCTGCAAACGAAAAGAAGGCAACAGGTGGACCCACCAGGGCAACGTCTGCAGCAAATATTTGCACACCAGCCCGTTTGCGGCCACAGAATCGACGCTCGGGGACAAGCACGCCAGCAGCGCCGACGGCCAGAGCCCATCCATATCCACGCGCAACGCCCGCGCGAGGCCTCCGAGCATGCAGTCGGCGGTTGCAGATTCCAGCACGGACGGTGGGAAGATAAGCTCTTGGCTGTGGACGCGGAGGTCCTCGTCTTCCCAATGCAACACGCCGTGCTGTGTCATCACTTGCTGCCCACAAGGAGGCTTGCCGTCGTTCAGCTGCACAGTGAACTTGGTTTCGCCCCACTGCAGATGCATAACCAACCAATTGTGTTCTGTCCCAGGCGCTCTGAGCACTTGGCGCTCTATTTGAACACGTTGGCTGTCGCAATAAAGCTCCGCCAAAGCCGATCTCAATTGGCGAACGAAAAGATGGCTGCCTTTGATTCCGGCGCCTTTGAAAACCTTGGCGACGCTGCTAGCGGCCATCCGCAGATTCTCTTTGCTGAACACTGCGCGGAGCATTGTCCGAGGAAGCCACTGATCCCAGCGAAATCTTGGCGACTTCTTGCGCGGGCCTTCCTGCCCCTCCCCCATCACGTCCACCTGTCGCTTGGCATTGTCCAAATTGTGCGTGGCCATCTGCGCCTGCAGCTCCATGTCCAGCTGGAGCCGCGCATCGCCCCTAGCCCGACGAGCTGCAGCGGCAGCCGCGCCCAGAGGCACCAGGCCGCGCCTGCCTGGGCGGGGCCCGGGGCGGCGCGCTTCTGCTGCGCCTCGAGCCCCGAGCCCATCGCCGCCCACGAGGCGACCCGGCGCGCCCCGAGCAGCTGCGAACAGATCCATTCGGGCATATGACCACCAGCGCGCTGGAGCCACAAGGACTACAGATGCACGGCTCACACGATAGAGGCCCCCAGCCTCCTGCTAGGTTTCTCCTCTTCCTTTTCCTCCTCCTCCCCCTCCTCCCCCCCCTATTCCTCCTCCTCCTCCTCCGGTTTGCTCGACGCGGGCCCGCGCGTCACTTCTCGAGCGGTCGCGGGCGCCACCGATGACGCTTGCCACCATGCGGAAGGTAGCGTCGGGTAATGAGCAGGGGTGCTCCCTGGCTTGTCACTCACAGCAGTCTGCTTTCTCCTGCGCCTCCCCTCCTCCTCCTCCTCCTCCTCCTCTCCTCCGCGTTCGTTACTTATTCCTCCTCCCGCGCCCCCCCCCCCCTCTTCCTCGAGGCGGCCTGGCGCTACAACGTCTTGCAACGACCACCTTTGAAGCGGGGGTGCCCCCAGCATCCGTTCGCCGCACGGAGTGACCACATAGTGAGTACCTTAGCCTTCGCCTTTCTCTCCCCATCCTCCTCCCGTCCTGGTCTCTTCCCCCTCCCTTCCACCTCGC